TCTTTCCCTGCTGGAATATCCTTGCTAGGTAAAGGCAGTTTCTAGGTCGGCGAGGTGGGAGTCTCCTTGGATCAGATGCAGTGATGTCTGAGAGTCTGTATATAGATTACAGCTTTCATGGGTGTCTGGAGTGTTTCCTGGTTTTGTGGGCCTAGGTGTAGTAATCCATGGGTTTTCTGTATATAGTGGCTGGTAGATGCCATGCCAGATGTGTATTGTGGTATCTAGAAAGCTGTTGTGGATGTAGGAGTATTCCAGAAAGAATCCGATAGAAGAGCAGTGTGTGTTGAATCTGTGGTAGAAGACAGTAAGCAAGTCCAGATGTTCAGTCTAAATGATGAAAATACCATCTATGTAGCACTGGTATAGCGCAGGCTTGATGGCACAGTTTTCAAAAAATTCTTCTTCCAGGTGGCTCGTGAAGAGGTTGGCACATTAGGGGGCCATTTTTGTGCCCAGAGCTATGGTGGAAATGATGGTTGTTGAAAGTAAAGTTCCTGTGGTTGAGGATGAAACAGGTGATTTGTGCAGTGTGTTGGGGATGGAAATCGAAATGCGGTCCATATTCTTGTAGGTGTTTCAGGGCAGGCAGTGCCACAACGAAGCTGCACCATTTGCAAGCAAAGGAGATGTTTGTGCTGCTTGGTTTAAGAAAGTAGCTGCTGAGGAGAGATTTTCTTCAAGGAGCTCTCCGCACCAAAATGCTTTCCATTTTGGCTGCTTGAATCCATGCTCATTACCCTTCATGAAAAGGCCACATATTTTCTGGGCTCTTTCAAGAGGACAGAGGTTGACAGAGCTTAGGTCGGTGGAGGGAAGGACGTGTGATGATCCTGAATGAGAGCTATTCTGTTGCTCTTTTGATGATTACAGATGTTCAGAGAGTCACTTACTAGATGTAAAGAAAATAAGAAATTCATAAAAAGAACCTCTGGGCGTCATTAGTGCCCATAGGGATAGGACAGATACTGTTCACTGTTGTTTTCCATGTTGTCTATTTTACTTTTCCAAGCTAACCCTCTCCTTCTCTTTCTCTAGATTTCACAACCAGCTATATCCTTCCTCAACTGGAAGAATAATGACTCCACTCATTGCAGCCATTTACCATCTGCTCATTCTTAAACAGTTCAGTAACTGGACATGCTGTGGCCTCCAGGTCAACATGACTGGACTCTATTAATCATTCCAGTCAAATCCAGCAGCTGAAGATTAAACATGTGTTTCAGAGAAAGCAAATATGATCTGGAGAAGCCCATGAAAACTGAACTCTTCACATATGATGAGGAAAGGCTAACAAGCCTGTCTGGATTTCTGTCCAAAGGAGCAAATTCAATTGTGAAAAAAAATTAAGGAATGATTGGTCATCAGCTACATGAGAAATCCTACCATACATGCAAAAATATGGCTGAAATCGTATGTGGGTGATTGCATTAGAATTTACTGTTCTAAATGGTCTTACAAAAGACATGATGAAATGGCTTAGGGGACCTAAATGAGAAAAATATCTCAGGTACTGCCTAGACTCCTGCGTCCTAGAGGCTGGTATCGCTCCAATACTGGAGTCCTAGGCTGACAAATTCTGTTGCAGGAGAAATTAAGCAACAATCTTTGCTTCTCTAGAAGGATTAAATTGTAGAGGGAACATCAGAAAGAGCAGAAAATGAGCCAGTTTAACCACTCAGCAGAGCTCTCCCTCCAGAGCACAGCAAACAAGTCGCTGAACTCCACTGACATACCAGTGGCTTTGGATGAGAGGCTACTTCTAGGGCTGAAGATCTCTCTGGCAGTTGTTCTGTCTATTATAACTCTGGCAACCATTCTTTCAAACACCTTTGTAATTATCACGATTTTTCTCACTAGAAAGCTCCATACACCTGCAAATTATCTCATTGGTTCCTTGGCACTGACAGATCTCTTGGTATCTATCTTAGTAATGCCAATCAGTATTGCTTACACTGTCAGCCGTACGTGGACCTTTGGCCAAGTTATGTGTGATATCTGGTTATCCTCAGACATTACCTGCTGCACCGCCTCAATTCTGCACCTCTGTGTTATTGCATTAGACAGATACTGGGCCATCACAGATGCTTTGGAGTATGCCAAACGCCGAACGGCCAGCCGAGCAGCCTTCATGATAGCTGTGGTCTGGGTGATCTCTATTTGTATTTCTATGCCACCACTCTTTTGGAGACAAGCCAAAGCTCATGAAGAAATGGCATCGTGTTCTGTGAACACAGATCAGATTTCCTACACCATCTACTCGACCTGTGGAGCCTTCTATATCCCAACCGTGCTCCTCGTTATACTGTACGGGAGAATTTACGTGGCAGCTCGCTCCAGGATCCTGAAGCCACCGTCGTTATATGGGAAACGATTTACCACTGCCCAGCTGATTACTGGTTCTACTGGGTCTTCTTTCTGCTCCATTAATTCTAGCCTTAATGAGCGGCATTCTCACTCAGGTGGCTCCCCAATATTTATCAATCATGTGAAAATCAAACTTACAGATAGTGTCCTGGAAAGGAAAAGAATTTCTGCTTCAAGAGAAAGGAAAGCCACAAAGACGCTTGGCATTATCCTGGGAGCTTTTATTTTCTGCTGGCTGCCATTCTTTGTTGTAAGCCTAGTCATGCCCATCTGTCAGGATGCTTGCTGGTTTCATCCCATCCTACTAGACTTTTTCACATGGTTAGGTTACTTTAACTCACTGATCAATCCAGTCATATACACGGCTTTTAATGAAGACTTCAAACACGCCTTCCAGAAGCTAATACACTTTAGAAAGTGTTCTTAGTGTTGGACCTCTCATTCGTCATTGAGCCCAGGCAATCCTGCAGCTCAGTTGGAGGCTGTCTGTTCTTATGCTGGTACTGCTTTGGACTGGTAATTGGTGTCCCTGTTGCTAACTGCGTGTTGTGCATGTAACTGAAGACTTGTTGCCAATCGTTTTATATTTATTTTCCATCTGGAATTATATATCTTTTTTGTAGAAATTGTTTCTGGTCTCTTCAGTGATCATATGCTTCTGTACGATCAGCACAGAGAGGAGGATTTGTAACACGCGGGATGAAATGAAGAGGAAAGCTGCATGCCGTGCGCTGATGGAACATGAGTTGCCCCATTCTGTCTCGGCTGTGGAATCCAATGAGAGTAGGATAGTGTATTTGTCTCTAGGAATGTGGCATGGTTTTTTGCATATAATTGGCAGAAATTCTGTGTTGTAGTTCAGTCAAGGAGTGTTTCTGAGATGGGGCATGTGCATTAGCTTTATAAAACGTCACCAAATTAAGTGTTCTCTGGTACAGCCCCTGGAAAACAATAGAACCAGTAAGTGTTTTCTGGACAGTTATTCATAGTGTTGTGGGACACTGAGCAGGAGATGGGCAAATGAGCTATGAGGAGCCTTCGTTCATTTATTTTGATCACCGACTTTGAGGGCTCCATATCTGGGGAATTATAAAAAGCAGAACGCATTATTTGAAATTTATTTTTATACATTTTATCCTTAATGGAACAGAAGGTGCAGAAATCCTGCAAAATAAATAGCATGAGAAATGATTTTAAATGATGTGCATCTTACTTTGTTGTTTGGGTTTTGCCTACACAAGCTGAAATCACAATACGATTCTTGGGATGTCAGTACGTAGGAGGGGTGGGATGTGCTGCAGCTGAGACCTTGAAATACAATTCAGGAGGTCTAGATTCATGTTACAGGTTTGCCACAAACTTCCTTTGCATAGGAAAGAGTTGCTTGAAGCCAACTCCAAGGTATTTCCATAGGTGCCTGTACTTCAGCCTTGAAATGCACCTCGCTCCAGAAGGACAATCTGCACCAACAGGGCTTGGTGATGCCCCTTCATCACCAAGATCCCTATACAGGCAGTGGAGGAGTCCCAGAGCCCAAGCACTGAGTAGGGAGGTGATCAATAGGAAATGCTAGGTACAGGGGTACCAGTCCTTCTAATGAATTTGATATTTGACTTAGGGCTTCACATTAGGTATGTCTGTGATCTGGAGATCCTGAACAATAGTACCTACCAGAACCAGAGCACCTAACACCCTCAAAAGAGCACTGAGTTCAGCGCAAAACATAGCACTCCATATTCACTCTTGAGTGTCATGGCAGTGCCTGCCTTTTGCCTAATAACCTAGTGGCAAGATCACTCACACAGGAAGTGAGAATCCTGGTTCAAGGCCTGAGAAGATCCAAACCCATAGCTCTCACTTTCCAGGAGAGTGCCTGAATCACCAGGCTAAAGATTATAGATTCATAGATGTTAGGGCTGGGAGGGACCTCGAAGATCATCAAGTCCAGCCCTCTGCGCCAGGGGCAGGAAGTTAGCTCGGGTCAAAGGATCCCAGCAAAATAAGCATCTAAGCATTTCTTGAATGAGTCCAGAGTAGGTGCCTGCACCACTTCTGGAGGGAGTCTATTCCAGGTCTTGGGGGCTCAGACAGTAAAGAAATTTTTTCTTATGTCCAGCCTAAAATGGTCTTGGAGGAGTTTATGACCATTGGTCCTTGTTTTTCCTTGTGGCGCTCTGGTGAACAGATGGTCTCCCAGATCCTGATGCACACCCCTTCTGTACTTATAAGCAGCTACCAGGTCCCCGCTGAGCCTGTGCTTTTCCAGGCTGAAGAGTCCCATGGCTCTCAGCCTCTCTTCATAAGGTCTATTCTCTTGTCCTCTGATCATGCACATGGCTCTCCTCTGGACTCTCTCAAGCTTCTCCACATCCTTCTTGAATTGTGGAGCCCAAAACTGGATGCAGTACTTCAGCTGCGGCCTCACCAAGGCCGAGTACAGCAGGAGGATGACATCCTGAGATTTACTTGAGAAGCATCTATGGATACAAGCCAGAGTTTGGTTTGCTTTACTAGCTGTGACGTCGTATTGGTGGCTCATGTTCATCTTGTGGTCAATCATGACCCCCAAGTCTCTTTCAGCCGTGGTGCTAGCAAGTGTAGCACTGCCGAGCCTATAAGCCAGCTGCGGGTTTTTTCCCCCCGAGGTGGAGTACCTTACATTTACTGGTATTGAACTTCATGAGGTTCAATTAGTAGGGGAGGCATCCTCCATCCTTTCTATTCAAGCTGGACCAGGGCTACCAAGAGTGCAAAATTAATGGGGCCAGGACGAGAGCAAGCAAACAAGAGCCTCACTCAGAAGCCCAATGAGGAGGGCTGATCTCTTGAAAAGCAGAGGTGGATTCCAGTCTTTGCTGCCAGGATGTTTTACACACTTATCTAGAAAGTCATTAGTTAAATAGCAGAGAGGACCCCAGCCCCAGGTTAAGGCATGTCCTTTCTCCATAGGCACAATCAGATGTGCTCCTAGCAGTCAAGTGATGGGGGTGCTGTAGATAGTGTGGGGTTAGGGGGGGCTGCAATGGGGGCTGAGCAGCCATCGGAGTGGCATCACCCGACAGAGGGCACTGGGACAATGAGATATTCCCTACAAGGATCCTCCTGGGCACCTGTTGGGATAACCATTGACTGTGGGTGCGTAATGGGTGCTGGGAAAGGAGCTGCTCCTGGCTTGTCAACTAGAAGGTAAGGAGTAGGATGAGCCATGTTAACTCTTGCAGGGAGAAAGACAACAGAGTGATAAACTGCCCGTTAGTGAATGGCCTGATACTGCTTGTATACAGCAGCCTGTCCGTCCAGAAAGTGCCCCATCTCCCTCCCCCAAAGTGCCCAGTCAGCTCCCCCTCTCAGCTTAACCAGTGTGTGGAATGGGCTGAATAGAGGTGGTACAACTCCACTTGGCTATTGGCCTAAACACAGAGTCGTACCCCTCTAACTGGACCCTTTCAGTTCCCACCCCCCAATTACAAGGAAAAAGGGACAGGACCCTTTGGGGAGAAACCAGGCAGGCTGGATGCCACATCCCTGAGAGCAATATAAAGGACAGACCCCAGCATCAAGGAAAGCAGAAGGGCTCAGGCTTGAGACAAGGCAAGAGCTGTAGCTCAGTGGTTCCCCATCTGTGGTATGCAGACAACCTGTCAGTGGTGCACATTAACCGATTTATTATAATGACTTTATATGACAAACATTTGGTACTTAAGGTTGAACTGAAAAAATGGCTGGTGGTATTTAAGGTTGTATCATTTGGTGCACAACCTGACAGAGTTTGGGAACCGCTGCTGTAGCTGGAGCAGAAGGAGAGACCCAGGGGAACTGACTGGACCTGAGGATGAGGGCTAAAGAGGGATGGTCACTCAGCAGAGATGCTGGCAGGGATGACAATAGGATGCTTGGGCAGGGTGGTCAGAAGGAAAGACAGCAAGGTCGTGTAGCGGGAAGCCTGCATTTAATAACAAACACAGAAAGAGCATCAGAGGTTGGAAGATGTTGCAGAAAGGAGCTCCTGTTTTTATGCACCTAAAGCTCTGCCAGCAGAACCGTGCCCAAACACAAAAAGAAATACTAGTAACAGTATTTGACTTGACTCAGTTTCATCAGTACATTTATGGTGAAAAAGTACTTGTTGAAACGGATCGCAAGCTTCTTCAAGTTATTAACACCCCCCCAAAAAAACCCCCACAAAAAAACTAAAAAAACAACCCACCTCTTGTACAGTGCTTCTCCAAGGATTCAAAGATAGACGCTCACTCCAGAAATACCAACAGGAAGAAATACATAGAGCAGGGTAAGAGTTAGCAATTGCTAATGCTTATATTCCACCTATGTCATCTTTTGGAAAATCAGTTTAGCTTGAGCTAACCTACAGGTCTAAACTTTACCTTCAGTCACTTTTTGCATATTGTTTTCCCAACAGAGCAGTGGATCACATGCACTGGCTGAAATCAAACCCAAGTGAGTGAGATCAACCTGGGGAGAATCAAAACTCGTCTTCAGGCCTATAGAGCAGGCACAAATGCTTTAGAAGAATTGGCTAGTTTTGTAAATGCATTCATTCTGGGAGCACTGGGAAATCAGACACTGGGACCTCATACTCCAGTGACTCCGTACTTGGACCACTAACCCTTTCCTGCATTTCCTGCGAAGAAGCACAAGTTTCAGAAGAATGTGAGTCAGCGTGTGATTTCTGAAGCTTCCAGTAGTCTTTTTAAACAGTAAGAAACTCTTCAGCCTTAGCTGTATCAGAGTTTCCTCTCTGATGCGAAGTGGTATTTACCTGCTCCTCCACGTACTACATCTGTATCCTCTGATACTAGTTTGTTTCTGGGTGCAAGTCATTCATCCTTGACTATGCAATTTTGTGCTGGTGTCAGGTCATACCGTATAAAATTACCAGTAAATACACAAAACATGTACAAGCAACAGCATTTCTTGGGGGAATGCAGCACAATTTTCAGTGCACCCTCACTGCAACTGGCATCAATGTGAGCGCAGAATACACAAGGAGCCTTGCTGTTTGTGTGGTCCATGGAAGGCATGTTGCAGTAAAGGATCTCAGGGCTAAATGCCATGTGCTGGGCTATCAAGTTCAGGTTCCCTGCTACTGCAGGTACCCACATCCTACAGTCTTTTTTTATAAACTTGCTGAGCCCCACTTTTAAATGCAGTTGGATTTCTTTCCCCTATTGGGAAGCTGTTCTAGGATCTCACTTCTGACGGTAGAAACCACATTCTAATTTCCATCTTAAATGTATTAACAGCCAACTTACACCCATTGGGTCTTGCGACAGTATTGTCCTTTAACTTAAATCGGTTTTCCTCTTTGGAATTCACCCCCACCCCCTTCTATATTTATAGGCTAAGCACAGATATTTCGGGGCATTAGAGGGAGGTGAACTCAATTCGAAATGGCTGCCCAATATCAGGACAGAGGGAATAGTGGTGGGGGGAGGGGGGGGGGGGGTCCAGCAGGCTGGAGGGGATTGGGGGTCTGCTGGGGGTTGGCGGGAGGTGTGACAGTCACGACCTGCAGGTAAGACTACATAGATCCGGGTTTATTGTAAACAGCTGTGCAATTTTTAGACCAGTTTGTGCGCGTGGAACTTCTGCACAGTTATGTAGACTGATTGCTGGTCACTGAGACTGAGTCTGTAAGTGCAAGGTCAGCACCAAGACGAGCTTAGTTGAAATCAGGTGGCCTTTTTGAACCTCATTTCATCTCCCCAAATGTCTGGACTGAGTGCAATCATATCATCTTTCAATCTTGGTTTCACCAGGCTAAACAAGCCAAATGTTTCTAATCTTTTCATTCCCTTTATCACCCTAGTTACCCTTTTCTGTACCTGTTCCAGCTGGATTTTGAACGTTTATAAACAGGGATAACTGGAGCTATACACAGTTTCCAGATGTCTCATCCATGCCGTGCATAATGGCATTAATGCTTCGCGGCTTCTGCAGGAAATACATCTTCTGACACATCCTAGGATTGTGTTTCTTTTTCATGGCTGTATAACAACGGCACTTCATAGTTATTCATTATCTTGTGCTTAGCTAACACAGCCAAGTCCCCCTCCTTGGTTGTTTCCAACAGGTAAATTCCCATTGTATCATGGAAGATTTTGTTATTAATCCCCAACTGTACAGCCTTGCATTTTGTACTCTTGAATCCATCCCA